GGGAAATTCTCATTTCGCCTACACCATCTTGCTCTCTGTAGGTGAGTACATGCAGCCATCTTTATTGAGTATAGAGCCATCATTACTGTGTCTGTAGAGCCATCTTTACTGTGAGTGCAGAGCCATCACTACTGTGTCTGTAAAGCCATATTTACTGTGTAGAGCCAACTTTAGTATATCTGTAGAACCACCTTTACTGTGTGTATATAAAGCCATCTTTACTGTGTTAGGTACCATCTTTAGTGTATACGTACGGATGTCTGTGGAGCCATCTTTACTGTGTATATACAGCCATTTTTACTGTGTTTGTAGGGCCATCTTTAGTGTATCTATTGAGCTATTTTTGGTGTGTCTGTTGAGCCATTTTTGGTGTGTCTGTTGAGCCATTTTTGGTGTGTCTGTTGAGCCATTTTTGGTGTGTCTGTAGGGCATCTAAAGTCCCCAATAACTGGGCTGGGAAACACTGTCCTAGTGGCCTGTGTTCATCCACATACTAAGTACATCAGGTCTCAGAACAGAACCATGCTGACCTGAAAGTCATCTCTGAAGATCCTTCATCTGTCATTTTCATCTGCTGCCTGCATCTAGACTTCTGCTTTATCGGGATTCAGACAAGCATCAGTACAGGCAATGTGATTAAAGGAACAAATGTCTTCTGTCATGGCAAATCTTACAAAGAAACAGGAAATACACCATGGTCTACAGTGGTACTGCTGTCTTATGAACTTGTCATGGAATATTCCAGATTTCAGCCTACAAGCCGTTAGTCATCCCCATTGTTGCCCAAAGCAGACAATTCCACTATACTGGACTGGGTCTATGCCTGTTCTAAAATGAAGGTCCCAGAGGTCGCAGAGTTTGATGAGCCCCATGGCAAATGTGGGGAAGGGTCCTGGCTCTTCTTGGGTCTGTGCACTGGGCAGCTCCTCGGGTAGTGGGGTCCGTTCTGCAGCAACTTGTAAGTTCTGCTTTGAAGAGGATCAGTGAATCTGCTCCCCACGTGGTTTCTGGGTGAGCTCTTCAGAAGGTCGCTGGGTCTGCTCCCCATTTTGTTTCCAGGTGTACTCCTCAGAAGGTTGTTGGGTATAATGCCAGCTGGTGTCTGGGGGGGGGTCTCCTCAGAGGCTATGGGATCTGCTCTCCAGCTAATCAGCTTCTTCAGTGTGGAGGCGAGTGTGGGGTCTTGGGCACCTTCACTGTGAACACCATGGGCTCCCGGGTCTTGTTGCCAAAGGCCTGGCGGATGACGTCCACAGCCTGCTGGTGGGTCAGCCCCTCCAGGAGCTTGCCGTCCACTGACACTAACTCGAACCCGGCCTGGGAGCAGCCAGTGGGACAGGTAAGAGCTGACACAGATATACACACAGCAACCCAGCATAAACCAGAGCCGGAGCATAGGCTGCCTTAATAAACAGGCCATTGTTCCGTTTGATGGCATCTGCTAAACAGATATATGTGCTTAGATAGCGGGCATCATTTTACAGTGCTGTTTTCCAGCTATTTTGGGCCTGCTGTTCATTACCACTCATTATATATTCTGACTGCTATTTTCTGATTCGACAATGGGGTTACACTAGTGGGGGGCCACACAAACAACAGCACAGGATCCCAGGCACAGGGCCCTTTGCCACTCTGTCCCAGTTGTCAGGATGCACCTGCCTCAGGCCCTTTCAATGCCCCGTCCTTAACAGGAACCCCCCCACCCCCCAATCTCTGTTCATGACCTCATCGCCTCCGTCCTGTGACTCTGTCATCATGATCAGGGCCATGCTTGTGTGACTCACGTGTGTCACATGACACGCCGTGCTGCAAGCTCCACCTACCGCCCGCCACAGTGACTGTGGGGCAAGCAGGATGTCCCACAAATAGACCGCAGGGGCAGGTGGCGCTACACAGGTCCACACACTGCAACATACATGCAGATGCATGTACACATACACATATGTACATACACACACACCAGCATGTCTGACTGATTTCAAAGCGAGAGCCTGTCTAAGGAGTGCACAGTGGGGACAACGATGATGTCACCCGACGCTGCGATAAACACCCTGCCGTAGAGCGCTGCGCTTTGTGTGCCCGTGTGTGTGTGTGTGTGTGTGTGTGCGCACATCTTGCTTTAAAAACAGCACACACACACACACGAATGACCTCACAATGCCGGCACAGCACATATTTATGAAACCAAAGTATTTGGTTTAGAATCCAATATGTTTGGCCAGACGTCCTGTGCCTGATAATTACTGCACTGTCCAGTGGAACAGCAGGAATGGCGATTAGAGGAAATAACTGCTTAGGCAGATAAAGCCGTGGACTGCGAGCCCCCTCTGCCGCCCTGCCCCC